CCCCCGTTGTGGGGGGGGGGGGGGGGGGGGGGGGGGGGTGGCGGGGTCTGAGACCCCAGGCAGCAGGGGAGGTGACCCAGTCGCACGGGAGCACAGACCCGGTGATGGCCCTGCCAGCCCCTCCTCGGCCCAGGCCACCACCTCCACCGCACGCCCCTCCCAGGGAGCAGCAACCACACGAATGAACATGGGGCTTTCTGTGACCACCGTGCCCAGGGCAGCCGCAGAGTCTGGACACGACGCCCCGAGGCTCCTGTCCCTCCCTGGGGAGCCCCCAAATCCTCCTGTCCCTCCCTGGGGAGCCCCCAAATCCTGCCCCTCCCTGGAGAACCCCCCAAGACCGCTGGCCACGGACCCGCCTTCAAGAGCAGCATGGCCAGCTGGGCTTTGTGCCGGGAAACTTGCTTAACTTTGGGGGCTCCATTTCCCACTGCCCCCCCCAAAACAAAACAGCACCCGTTGAGTCACACTCGCCACGTTGCAAAGGTGAGCACGTGGGTGTAGCGAGCTTTGGCACGTCAGGTGCTGGCGGGACCACAGGGACTATTTTGTGTGTTTATGATTTTTACAAATTTACGATTGTTCCCAAGTTAGCCTCTTTTTATGCTGCATGTCCTGGGGATCAGAGATAAGGAATAGTCACAGATGCCACACGCCGGCCACGTGCGGGCAGAGGGGGGAGAAGCAAGAGGAGAACGGAGGCAGAGAAGGACCGAGGGCGGAAGCGAAGAGAAAGGGCCAGAAAGAAGGGCTGCAGGTGACCGCCCGCCGAGCAGCGCCCGGAGCTGGCCCACCGCTCAGCCTCCCCTTGGGGGGAACCCGCACCCCCATGTCCCACGTATGCCACACCTGTGCCCAGAACAAGGACCAGGTCAAGAGGCTCCACCGGGTGCGGCACCTACGGACGCGTGACGGCGTTTCCTTAGGAAGCAAACCCCCGAACGACACACGAAAGGCCCCAGGGAAGCAACCCACCCCGACGGGCCCGACATCCCCTGGTGGGGGGCCGAGCAGCGACGAACCTCCCAACCACACCCCAACCACGC